GCTGGGCGCCTTGTTTCAAAGGCTCAACAACTCACGGCGAAATCCTGATAGCAATACTTTCATTGGCAAAATAATATTATTACTCGCTGGGCGCCTTGTTTCAAAGGCTCAACAACTCACGGCGAAATCCTGATAGCAATACTTTCATTGGCAAAATAATATTATTACTCGCTGGGCGCCTTGTTTCAAAGGCTCAACAACTCACGGCGAAATCCTGATAGCAATACTTTCATTGGCAAAATAATATTATTACTCGCTGGGCGCCTTGTTTCAAAGGCTCAACAACTCACGGCGAAATCCTGATAGCAATACTTTCATTGGCAAAATAATATTATTACTCGCTGGGCGCCTTGTTTCTTAGGATCGACAAATGGTATTAGCCAATGCTAACCGTTTCAGCCAATCAGCGTTAAGCCGACGCTTTCAAACTTTGGAGCAAATGGGTAACAAGTGTACTTGCAATTTTCTCTAGGGCCTCTAAAATCACTCAGAAAAGTTCTGTGTTGAGCCTGTGTTGAAACATGATTGGAACATAACTGTGGGCAAGTAGAAAGCCGTGGTGTCATTCTGAGTTAGTGGTCCAGTATAACACCGTGAAATCAGAAATAAAAGGCAATTTTCCAGGAACTCACATACTATAATAGTAGTGGCATTTTAAGGTCTTCCCTTATTTGAAAATTTAATTTATATTTTTGGAGAGTGCCGCTTCAGTCGTGTAGACATAACTATTCAAACGCGTTCTAGTTCAGAAACTAAAAACAATACTAATATTTGTAAATCATTGCATGATATTATCATTGATGTGGTTTGAATGTGTCGAAAACAAACTTTGTTCAGTTTATCTGCGCTTTTTAATTTTAATTTGCTTGCAATCCGGTGAACTCTAGTCGTGACGTCATCTGGACTGAGTCAACATCCTTCCTTGTCGTGACGCTCTGAAAGTTTTGTTACGCGTGAATATCATTTTTATTGTCGGTTGGGATAATGTAAATGACCTCAGGCTCAATAGACCATTTCCCGTTCACTGCGAGAATCACGCGTTATGCGTGAAATTACGTAAACACAGGACAAACAAGGTCATAGCGTCGTAGTGGCGACAAACATCGCCTGGGATTGGACAAACGCGAAAGTATTTTGGGAGATATTTCCAAGCTTAATAATTTGCTGTACACATTGAGCTACGATATAAAGAAATTCGAGTTCAAAATCAAATCGTTCGGTTTTTGCGGCAGACGTTCTGCGCGTGTCTTTTCACGCAACTTGCGAGATCTCGCAGTTAAACGTAAAATCACCTATTTGTGACATGCCCCGAACATAACGCTAAGTTCTCGCGATACCTGATGCCATCGTTATACCACGTAGATTGAAGAGCTAAGAAACAAATAATGATGACGTCATCGTTCTTGGGAAACAACATCCGCTGATATATTCGAGCGAGGGTAATACCCGCAATAATACTAAACAAATCGGCAATGTAAATTCTATATACTGTGGAATACTTTATTTTAGCTGTAATTAATTTTCACTGAAAAGGCTTTTTTGCTCTTTTGTTTGGAATTTATTTTCATTGATTTTTGATGAGTTGAATGTGAAATACAGGAAAAAAGTATATTCGTTGGGCTTTATTTTCACTGAAGCATCTCTTCAGTGAAAATAGCGAAAATTAATTCCAGGCAGTACAGTATTACACATATACAGCTAAAGACAATGTATTTGGTTTACTACAACGCTGTGGAAAGTGTCACATGTTTTCTTTGTGTGTGTGTGTGTTTTCATATATTATATTCACACAATCCCGACGTATATATATCTCAATTCTTTTATATTATGAAGTCAGCTAGCAAAATTGTTTTTTCTATTCGCCTGCATAATTTTTTTTTCACCAAAGCGCACCCCCTAGTTTTCAATTGCATCCCACTTCGTGTTATGGGACCTGATTAAAATCTGATGTTAATGTAGGTAGGGATTATTGTCACTTTTAATGGCTTGTGGCTGATTTATGACCTTCGATGTACTTGCGTCTACTCTAATTAAATCCAACTACACCAGGAGCCATAAACCGGGGATCGTAGCAACCAGAGTCTCTACCTACGTCAGATGTTAATCAGATTGCGTGTTAACGTTAACGTAGCGAAAGTGAAAGTCATAGAAAGACGTTCGCGATCCTCGTAGAGAACATTATTATCCATTACTATCTGTTCAAGAAAGTTTGTTTGTTCGTTTGTATAAGAACATGATTGAATATATACAATAGAATATGTCAGAGTTAAAGCGCCACCAAAGTCGTAACGTGTCATGGGTGTACAACGCGTGTAAAATCTATTATTTTAGAAAGCATGTGTAATGCGTCACTTTTTCCAATGGCTTTTAAGTCAGTTTGGGGGAAAGTTTCCATTGTTTAACTAAAATTTAAAACAAATGAAGGACGTTGATCGTCGCGCCGCGCATGTGCGACATTTGTGTTGACAAACATGCATTTGTCCACAATGCAATGCGCACTTCTAATAGAAATCCATCTTGAATTTTCAAGGCGAATGTTCCGGCGAAGCACTCCACTATCACCTTGAAGTATTTCATTAGGACTACGTGTATGTGACAATGCCCTCACAGTTTAGAATCAGTTTACCAACAGCCAATCATATTGCTTCTTTCTTCAACGCGCTTGGCCAACCTATCATAATCTTCGGGGCGGAACTAATTCACGAGACGCTCAACGTTGCTATTTAAGACGCGCACCACTCTACCTTGTATTT